TCCTGCTGTGGGGGCGGAAACGTTCCTCACAGCACACACAGTTCATAAAGAGGACGTGATGAAGGAGGCGAGCTGACCTGCAGCAGAAGATTCTGTCGTGGATCGGAGTCAGTTTGTCCGTTACTCTGTTGGCGATGTAAGCTCTGAGAGACAGACAGGCAGAGGGAATCAGACAGACAGGTCAACATGAGTGTGTACAACAACATGTCTTTTAATTTCACACACACACACACACTTTGTTCTTCTTACCCAGTGGTGGTGCGAGAGTCAGCACCCATCACTACTCCTCCATCGTACTCCACCGCCATGATGGTGGTCTGACAGACAGACAGACAGACAGACAGACAGACAGACAGACAGACAGACAGATAAGATAATCCTTTAATTATCCCACAACGGGGAAATTTACAGTGTTACAGCAGCTAAGAGCAAAGATTGCAAACAGTACAATTTAAATAAAAATTAAGAATGTACAAAAAAATAGATAGATACTAAAAATAGGTTTTAAAAAATTAAAAAAGAATTAAAGAAAGAATTTTAAATAAAAAAGACAGTTTGTTATTACTGTTACAATGTTATAAGTCAGACAGTAGATTGTTACTCCACAATAAACACTCAGAGCACTTCATGAGCACTGCAGAGGGGCCTTTGCAGCCCCTCAGTCTCTCCATTAGTGCCTGTGTATTTCAGCCTGTGTGTGTGTGTGTAGCATGTCTCAATTACAGACATGGGTGATCTAAAACAGTGGTTCCCAAAGTGGAGGGGGGTCCCCCCCAGTGATCTAAAAAATGTCCTGAATCACCAACTGACACATCTAAAGATTATTAAACAGTCAGAGATGAGAGCAGAACCTGGAGACTGATTTACACAACAGGTTTCTGACAGTCTGAGCCACGTTCAGGTGTTGTTGTGTTGTTGTGTCTCTGTTCAGGTGTTGTTGTGTTCTCTGTTCAGGTGTTGTTGTGTTGTTGTGTTCTCTGTTCAGGTGTTGTTGTGTTGTTGTGTTCTCTGTTCAGGTGTTGTTGTGTTCTCTGTTCAGGTGTTGTTGTGTTCTCTGTTCAGGTGTTGTTGTGTTCTCTGTTCAGGTGTTGTTGTGTTGTTGTGTTCTCTGTTCAGGTGTTGTTGTGTTCTCTGTTCAGGTGTTGTTGTGTTCTCTGTTCAGGTGTTGTTGTGTTGTTGTGTTCTCTGTGCAGGTGTTGTTGTGTTGTTGTGTTCTCTGTTCAGGTGTTGTTGTGTTGTTGTGTTCTCTGTTCAGGTGTTGTTGTGTTCTCTGTTCAGGTGTTGTTGTGTTGTTGTGTTCTCTGTTCAGGTGTTGTCGTGTTGTTGTGTTCTCTGTTCAGGTGTTGTCGTGTGTTGTTGTTCTCTGTTCAGGTGTTGTTGTTGTTGTGTTCTCTGTTTAGGTGTTGTGTGTTGTTGTGTTCTCTGTTCAGGTGTTGTTGTGTTGTTGTGTTCTCTGTTCAGGTGTTGTTGTGTTCTCTGTTCAGGTGTTGTCGTGTTGTTGTGTTCTCTGTTCAGGTGTTGTCGTGTTGTTGTGTTCTCTGTTCAGGTGTTGTTTGTTGTTGTGTTCTCTGTTCAGGTGTTGTTGTGTTGTTGTGTTCTCTGTTCAGGTGTTGTTGTGTTGTTGTGTTCTCTGTTCAGGTGTTGTTGTGTTGTTGTGTTCTCTGTTCAGGTGTTGTTGTGTTGTTGTGTTCTCTGTTCAGGTGTTGTCGTGTTGTTGTGTTCTCTGTTCAGGTGTTGTCGTGTTGTTGTGTTCTCTGTTCAGGTGTTGTTGTGTTCTCTGTTCAGGTGTTGTCGTGTTGTTGTGTTCTCTGTTCAGGTGTTGTTGTGTTCTCTGTTCAGGTGTTGTCGTGTTGTTGTGTTCTCTGTTCAGGTGTTGTTGTGTTCTCTGTTCAGGTGTTGTGTTGTTGTGTTCTCTGTTCAGTGTTGTTGTGTTCTCTGTTCAGGTGTTGTTGTGTTGTTGTGTTCTCTGTTCAGGTGTTGTTGTGTTGTTGTGTTCTCTGTTCAGGTGTTGTTGTGTTCTCTGTTCAGGTGTTGTTGTGTTCTCTGTTCAGGTGTTGTGTTGTTGTTGTGTTGTTGTGTTCTCTGTTCAGGTGTTGTGTTGTTGTTGTGTTGTTGTTGTTGTGTTGTTGTGTTGTTGTTGTGTTGTTGTTGTGTTGTTGTAAGCTCGTCATCAGCGTTGATGCTGTTAGCCTGTTAGCATTTGATATAATATATGTGTTAGCATTAGCCACAGTTAGCTCTTTCTCTTCTGTCTTTTTATTAACCATCTCCATTCTCAGACTCTACACCGACCGGCCCGGTTCGGCCCGGATCAGCCGGATCAGCCCGGTTCGGCCCGGTTCGGCCCGGTTCTTTCTTCTTCTTGAGCTCTGAACCTTTAACCATCACGGACTGGGAGCTAGCATTAGCCGTTAGCAGCAGAAGTGCTGTCTCATCCAGCGGAAACAGTTTAAAGTCTCTAACCAGAACCAGAACCAGAACCAGAACCGGCTCCGTCTGT